TCTGAGTACAATTTTGAATAAATCAGCTTATATTGACTAATTTATCATTCGTCAATATCTGATTCATCAAAAAATATTTTTGAAAAATAATTATTTCATAAAAATTACTTTTCTAAATACTGATGCCAGAAATAAAAAAAGCGCTTAATTGTTGTGAAAATATCGTATGATCTTAATAATATTTTGGCATTAGAATTTATAAAATTGATTTATTTTGCATTGATTATCTATTTTGAAAATTACCTATTTTGTTTATGCTAATATTTACATCATACTGTGCACACTACAAGTAAAAAGATTTATGAGAGCTCTTATTTCAATTTCACTCTATGAAATATAGTTTTTGCTTGCTATATATTCTTAATATAAATTTATAAGGTGTCATGATATTTAATTTTTGTTTTAAATAAAGTTAATTAATTAATAATTTATCGTACAGTACAATAGTTCACTTATACAAGTTTACTTGTACTGTGATAAATTCATATGAATAAATGTAGATTATTCATATATAAATTAATTACATATTACATGATCAAAATCCAGAAATATTGCTTCTTTGAAAATTCGTATAATTCCAATAATCTATATAGCGTTAAATCTATAAAAAATATTTTATCTAAAAAAAATTGTATCGATGTAATATATAGTCATATTTAACATTAACATTCGGCTAAGGCATTTTTTTCATAGAATGATTGTATGGGATAATGTTATATAGAAAAAATTCATAACTAGATTTATAATTGCATAAAATGAATGAAGGGCAAACAAACATACATGATTTATAATGTTGAAAAAATAGTGTATGTCATATTTTAACAGCAATGATAATAATGAAAATAGATATTTGACGAATAAATCGACTATTTAACATATTATTAATCGATCGTTTGTTAGTTGCGCAAAGGCAGGGTCATTAGCTAAAATAATGTGATAAACCATCAATTTATATTATATATTTTTTATTCGCAATATTTATTCTGATTTCGTAGTTTTTGATAAAATTGTTATTTATAATATGTTATTTGCCGATTTTATTTATACTCTTATGCAGTCTTTTATTGCGTTTGTAAGCATTGAGCATATTTTTGATAATTTTATAGCACATCTAGTTATTTTTGCTTAATTATGATTTTAAAAATTCAGTTTGTTCTAAAAATGAAAATTGGACGTTGAGTTATCATTTTCAAATATATCAATGCTGCTTAAATCTTAAACATATTATAAAAGTTTCGTTTTAGAGCTTTTACATTTGTTTACTTAATTATTAGAAAGCAACTTTGAAATTTGTGTATGTTTTATAAAATAGATATCAAAATATTGACAAGGTCAGAATATATGATACCTTATAAATCATTTTGATAATGCAGGCATGAATATGACATAATTTTAAATAATCCCTTAATTTAATTTATCACGAAGCAGTATGACCATAAGGTGCAAGGTCAATTGGGAATAGTATAGCTAGAATTATAACGAATATTTCTTTAAATAAATTATAATTAAATAAAGCGATAAATTGATGAACAATACATTATGATTTGATGAAAAAAAAAAGATGTTTTGTGATGCGATAGTGTGTGTAACTGTATTTTAATGGTGCGTTCTCTACTGCAGTGTATTAATGAGCTATAATCTAATTGCGACTAATTAGCATCGTATTTCCGTGCGTATTTGTCATAAATTATAATAAATTTGAGAAACCACAACATTAAATTGACTAAATAAATATTCAAATTTCAAACAAATAATTAAAAAATTATCAAACCCATGTGTATATACACGCGGCTTCCTAACGCTCGAGTTTGTCTATAGAAGAATTGATTCAAACAGATTTTTCTTTTAGTATAAAAATTACCATAAAACAAGGTAATAAAATAATTTTAACATGATAGCCTATCTTAAAATAAATAATTGATGCGATTATTTTAGAAACATATCGATAAATTACCGTGCACGATAACACAAAACCATTACCATCAGTAAGTAAACTAATCCTTAGAATTTACGAAGCAACTGTGGTCGGAAGAATTTACGTATCTAATTATTTATTCACATATTTAATATAATATTATACAAGATTGAATATTGTAATAATAATAGCCTGTAATATTTGAATATAAAGATTCCAATAAGAATACTAATGACAATAAAATCGATTTCATGCAATACTTCTATTTAGCTCCAATAATACGAAAAAAATATTTATAATGCCAAATTATATAAAGTAAGGCTAGAATCATTTTATCATTAACAATAATTTAAATATATTTTCTATGAAAGCGTTAAATAGTCTAAATTTACTGCCGTGGCCTCGCCGATACAAAATGATTAAAATGATCATGCATGAGTTAATTGTATTAAATTTATGACATAGAACGCACCATTATTAAAATTTTAAATAATTCTGAGTTCGGTATATACCAAAAGCTAATATGTAATAACTACAATTTATTGAACCCGTTACAATATCTGTTTTCTTTCCTAAAAGGAAGATTTGTTGCCTTCGTTGTGGTTCACAGCCGGGTTGTTCTATTATAGCAGCTAAAACGAAAGAAGATTAACAAAATATTAAACTACTGCTAAAAAAGCGACTAAGAAAGTAAGCTGTAAGTTTTCTCAAGATTAAACGATTTTTGATATTCAATGTTAACGTTATTAACAAATTTTGTTTTAACTAACATCTATTATTAAGTCCAGCCACTTACGGACTATTTTTAATCATTATTTTATATAAATCTGTTATAATTTTTAATCAAGAAATTTAGTTTTGAAGTCAAGGCAGAGTTTTTAGCTGCCACCGGCTGTGACCAGACTTAATAATAATCTAAAAATCACTACGTTTCTACGTACTAAATAACTTTGTTAACTATATTATATTCCTATGGAAGTAAAATTATCATTACTTTATAATTTTTCAATACCCGTTTCTAGCGTTAATATAGATAAATATAAATTTATTTTACTAATTTTCTATTTTTTAACTACGTGATATGAAAATTTGTAAATAAATTCTACTAAATATTTAAAAGCTTAAATATAAACAACCTTTAGTTATTTTTTTAATGTGATTTTTTTCTTGAGATTACGTGGACGCAATTTTAGGAATCTTGGGAAGATGTTTAACTATAGTTTTAACTATTTGTTGATTACCTAAAATTTTAATTATTTGTCTACGTTTATCTTAGCACTTTAGTTTCATATGTTAGGCCTCAGACTTTTATTATACTTAATACTACTTTAAACGTAAATATTTTGATCCAACCACGATATGTGAAATTGTAAGGGATACTATGACTGATACAGCGCAATGATTATAGTATATTTTTTATACTATAGTCAATAATATTAAGTATTGTGTTTATGTAATTTACACATGATTTATTTTGTGTGATTTATATTCGAATATAACTGTTCGAAAACACTTGCCCGCAATTTCTATTTTCTAATTCAACACGATGTTGAGTAAATTTAGTTTTAGATTTCTTTGTAAAGTAAGAGAGCAAGATATCCAGAATATAACTATTAATTTTCGTGAATTTCGAATTGGACCTATATAAATTGTTTTAGTAAATTGTAACAAGTAACTTGATAATTTAATTCTAATAGCTACAGTAATATTGGTTCGTATTTTGTAGAAGATATCGTAACTATGATATCCTAGCTTAATATAATAAATAGAATTAGCATCGAATAACGTAGCAACTACTAACAAAATAACGATATAAATACCAAACAGTTTCATGTACGAGTCATCTACACGTCTTATTAAATTAGGGTAAAAGCAACATCAACGCATTTGACACTTTATATAGTGCAGTAAATGGAGCATTTTAGGTCTGAATTTTTTTACTTTGCTCCGAATTTCATGGAATTTTGGAATTAGGTTCATCTTACCCTGAAGTTCAAAAGTGAAAACAATTCGGGTTGCGCCATCAACCCCTGGGGGGGGGGGTGACACCCCTTCTCAATTGTGTAATTAAATTTTTTTAAAATAAATCGATAGAAGAACTAATTATAAGAAAAAAATGTTTTTTACAGTTTTTCAAAAAAACTAATACTTTTCAAGTTACTGGCCACTAAAGATTAATATATTTTTGACGTTTTTCTTCGTTTTTTTGCAAATATCTCCTAAAATATACATTTTAACAAAAATCATGTAATGAACAAAATAATGTCAATAAAAATCTGAATAAATCGGTATTACATAAATTGTTCTAGGAAAAATATTATGCAAGATTTGAAAGAGCAAAGTCGTTTTTTATTTCGTTCATGATTCAATTGTTGTATTTAAAGCCATCTAGTGTCGAGGTTTTACATTTTATGTATTACGGTGAAATTGGGTTTTATAGTGCTCAACATAAGCTTTAAAATGAGTGCTGTTACAAGTTTTTTACATGTAAAATGGATGAGCTATCATGCAAATAAGAAGCATATACGAAGTTTATTTCTTCTAAATCATATGGTTTAATGAGCACCATTTCCACCAGAATTAAAGTAATTTACATTGTATCTAGAATTCACTTCATTATAGACATCTTGATGGATTCCAGCAGATTCACTACTTTAGTACAAACTATTTTCAGAAAATTTTATTCAGATTTTATAAAAACTTTTTTTAGGAGATATTTGCAAAAAAACGAAGAAAAACGCCAAAAATATATGAATGTTTAGTGGCCAGTAACTTGAAAAGTATTAGTTTTTTTGAAAAACTATAAGACATTTTTTTCTTATAATTAGTTCTTCTATCGATTTCCGACATTTTGAAAAAATGTAATTACACGATTGAGAAAGGGTGTCATCCCCCCGGGGGGTGATGGCGCAACCCGAATTGTTTTCACTTTTGAATTTGAGGGTAAGATGAACCTAATTCCAAAATTTCATGAAATTCGGAGCACAGTAAAAAAATTCAGAGGTTATACCTATTTTTCCTCTCCGTTTACTGCACTAATATATTTTGCATTTTTTTTTTCAAATGGCATAAATATTTTTGGCGTTCAATATGCACGTCGTTCAGTATCAGGCGATACACCAAGCAATAATAAACCCATTTTCCCTCCGGCATACCTTTCCAGCAGCCGCCTTTTCAAGTCGGGAGGATACGTGACGTAGATGTAGTGTTCACTCTGGCCCATGTCCGCAGCGCCTGGGTCTGCCCCGAGAGACGGGTCTCGGGCGACCAACGCGCGTTGCCCGTAACCGTCGCCTTCGCCGGGAAGAGCTCGTCCCGCGGCGCTGTGCGAGGGCGAGGAATGGGCGGTAGCCGTTGCACTCGTACTTGCCACGCTTCGGTCGTCATGACTAGGTAATTTCGGTAAGAATATGGTAATTGTAATTCTATTTATTTAACAATATTATGTAATTTATTTTACGATATATAATAACTGTATCTAAAATATAAAATCTCTATAAAAAGTAATATTTTGATATTCATCCAAAAACGTAAATTTTTCTTACATACATATTACAAACGAAATGACCAGAAAATCTTAAAATGCATACTGTGTATATAAGAGAGAAAAATATCGTAATTTATACCAAGCGCAGTAAACTATACAGACGCATAAAAGGTTTATTTCGATGAAAAACTACGTGATAAACGGCAATGTTTTCTTAAGCGATTAGGGGTACTTGGAGGCACGAAAAAATGAGAATTTTCAGTATTTTTTTGTTATTAAGCGATGTTTTATTACAAAAATATTAATACGGTATTATTGTATAATGTTTTGACTTGAACTAACAAAATCTTCAGAAAAAACATTAGATATTAAGTTGTAGCTGTTTTTGTTGACCCTGTTTTAAAAAACGGTCCTGGCAATGACCATCATAACTCTTTAGAGATTCATCTAAAATCAATCAAATAAAAAAATAGTTTTAAAAATAGATAATCCTGGGCCTGATCGAAGGTTTTCTTTTTTTTGCAAAAATTAACAAAATGGCAGCACCAGAAAAAAATTTCGATTTTTGGGTAAAAAATCAACAGTTAATTGGTCTTAAAAAATTGATATTTTTGAAAAAATAAAAATTCTTCGATCAGACCCGAGTTTATTATGTATTCTAAAAGCTGTATAAATTTCATTAAAATTTACTAAGCGGTTTTTGAGTTACAGTTTTCACCGGTTCAAAAAACATAGTTTTGAGAAAAACGCGTTTAAAGTTTCACATCGGATTTACGTACAGAAATTCGAATTATTGATTTACTTAAACCGAGTCATCTATTTCTGGGCCATATAATAGTTCATCAGTCATTGTGCAAGTTTCTAATATTAACATTTGATGTTGCCTACAAAGCATTCTGGCCTCCCGAGTGTTTTCGTTGGCGCGCTGATCTGCCACTTTCACACGTGCAGCATACCAACGGGAATTATACCCACAATTAGGTCCTAGGTCCCACAATTATACCCATAATCAATAATAATGATGTATATGCATTCAGCAATTTGTACGATAGTAGAACTAGTATTCACGGTTTCTAGGCATATTTTTTACACTAGTTGGTTGAAGCTTTTAATTCTTTCTGATTATGGATTCAATCTTGAACTGCACATCTTGAAAGTGAATTATCATTGCTGAGATCGTCGCAAAAAAATAAAAATCGATTTTTCAAAAATTCCAAGCACCCCTAACCCCTTGAACAAATGATTTTCATCCGTCACCATTAGCATTAGCCTACGTATGTTATCAGTAAAAACATCTTTATATTTTTGTTTACAAAATTACGCATGTAATACTACAAAAAGCAAGCTGAAACTATAAGTTTCATATAAACTATATGAAACAAGAAACGTAAACATTGTTTTAAATATGAAAGCATAGTTATTTTAGTCAATATAATTATAAATTTCAATATTTAAATATATTACCTCATAGAATTATTATAAAAAATAATATTAAGCACATATGTTTGGCCAAAAAGTCGATTATATAATATCTTCAGAAATTTATTTCTAATCCTTACCGATGCTCATCCAAACACACATTTTGTTCATATATATAATAAAGCAAAATAAAAAAGTAATATTACTCACTCAAATAGCACCCAGATAATGTAGTAGCATAGGCATATTCCTAGTGACAATACCATTACCATCACAAATAACAAACCCCATGGAAAAGGTCTTGGTTCGGGATTTCCTTCTTCCCAATAGCGGTCACAACTCAAATACCAACACACTGCGTGATTTAATTCCTCTATAAACAAATAATAGATAAAATTATTCGAATTATAGTTCAAATTTATTTGTAAGATCATATTTAGAAGAAGACATACCTTCCATATCTGTGAAGTCTTGAACAGATAGATGAACCAACAAACCAGCAATACAATCTCTGACAAGAATCTGCAAAATTGATATAAAATTTAAAATCTAAATTTAATAAGGATGCAAAAATCAAATTGTTTATTTTGATCAGATTGATATTGAAGCTATAAAAATGCGAATTTTAATCTCATTTACATGTATCTTTAAATCCACATTTCTCAATTACCTATGCTTTGTACTAATTAATTGAAAACAATAACATCAATCAAATCAACAAAATTATGTCATGTATTATATTCAATAGCATTGTAACGAATTGATAATATTGCAAAAATTGATGTTTTTCAGATTTATAATTTTACATTTTAAGTATTTATACCTCACATCGCAGCTTGAGCCTTGCCAGATCATCAGGTTTACAGTCAGCCTTAAGACGTTGAAATTCATCATTTGTTGATCCATCTACAGCTGGTAACGCCGAGTCCACAAGATGTTCATCGCAAGCGGCCGTGGCATTGGAATCACCATTCTCCTCTATGTCTTCTACCTCTCCGTCATCATTATCGACATCTAGAACAATAATAATCGATAAGTAAAGAAATTTATTTTAACTTGTATTGATTATTAATAAATTACTTCCCTCATAATTATGATAAGTTATAGTAATCGCAAAGAAATTGAAAATGAATATTTTATATATCTTCACGTTTCAATGGTTTTTATTTATCAAATTGTTATATTTTTTATTATCTGTCACTTATTGTTTTTATTCCACTTTATCGTTTTGTATAATTTTTATTATTCACAAATTTTATTTTACTTATTAATTATATTATTATTAACTTCCCGAAGGAGAAGTTTATGTTTTCATCAAAAAATCCGATTCGCTAATTTTATGTTTTCTCGACGTTTCAACCCATTCTAAATCGAATGAGACCAAATTTGGAAAAAGTATGTGTGTGTGTGTGTGCGTGTGCACCAACAGATTTTTTGTCATAAATCGCCGTTTTCTCAAAAACGGGTGGACCGATTTCAAAAATTTAAAAGCCATTCGATGTATCTCGATGAGGACTATTGTTTGTCAGTTTTGTGCGACGATCGACCAAACCGTTTCTTCGTAAATAGCAGAGAAGTGAAAAGTCTTTCGTCCACGTTTTAGCCCGCAGTTGTGAATCGATTTTGAAAATTCAAAAATCGTTGGAAAGATATTGGTTGGGAATCGTGCTGATTAGTTTTTGGTAGAGATCGGCCGGGCCGTTTTCTTGTAATAAAGTTTTTTAAAAAAAAAATTCGACGATTTTTATGATTATTTTTTTGAAGGTAGATACCATAGTCTTCTATATCATACTAAAATATTACGGCCCTACGACAACTGGTTCAGCTTTAAAAATTTGTTAAAGTTTGCAAAAATTGGTATTGTTTTTTGGCATTTGTCAAAGTTAGACCTTTGATCGACGTTTTCTCAAAAACGCCTGAGCCGATTTTAGAAATTTAAAAGCTATTTGATGTATTTCGGTGAGGACCATCGTTTGTCAGTTTTGTGTGACGATCTGCCAAGCCGTTTCTTTGCAATTTGAAACAAAGTGTTAAACTTTTTGTCCACATTTAAGCTCATCCTACCAAACCGATTTTAAAAAATCAAAAACTGTTCGAAAGATATTAGTTGGGAATGATACTGATTAGTTTTAGGTGAAAATCTACCGAGCCGTTTTCTTGTAATTAACTGTTGAAAAAAGTTTTAAATTTTCGTCCACATTTAAGCTCATCCTACCGAACCTATTTTAAAAAGTCAAAAACTGTTCGAAAGATATTAGTTGGGACTGGTACTGATTAGTTTTAGGTGAAAATCTACCGAGCCGTTTTCTTGTAATTAATTGTTGAAAAAAAGTGTTAAATTTTCGTCCACATTTAAGCTCATCCTACCGAACCGATTTTAAAAAATCAAAAACTGTTCGAAAGATATTAGTTGGGAATAATACTGATTAGTTTTAGGTGAAAATCTACCGAGCCGTTTTCTTGTAATTAACTGTTGAAAAAAAAATTTAAGCCGATTTTCATGGAACTTTTTTGGCGATATACATCATGGTCTTATAGAACTTACTGAAATATTACGGCCTTACGACAAGTAGTTTAATTTCAAAAATTCGTCAAACTTTGCTAAAATTATTATCGTTTTTTTTTTAAAGTAGGATTGATGAAGTATATTATTTACACATTTTTTTTTGATTAAGTCGATTATTTACACATATCGGGAAGTTCATGTAACTTGCCTCAAGACTAAATACCAAACCAACTAGTTATTCTTTGCTTTTATTTTGTATTAAATCATCATAATACGGATATCAATTTAATGTAAATACTATCCTATATTTTGTACTGTATTTTATTTATATTTATGTTATTGTTTATTAATGTTACTAGATGTTATATTATTTAACAGTTGTAACAAATATTGTAATTAAAAAAAAATCAGGTTTTTTATAGAGATTTCAATGAGTACAAATTTTGTTTACACTTATATGAGTTCCGTACCAATGTTTATTTGTTACATTTAGATTTATATTCACTGAGAAATTTTCAAAAAAATTCAAAATTTAGAAAAAAAGTTATTTTTTCAAGAATTTCAAAATTCTCGAAAATCTCATTTTTTTTTAGTTTTCAAAAAATGTAATTTTTTTCTTAATTTAATTTTTAGTACGGAAAGTTCCAGCATTCGTTTTTTAAAGTAAAACATCACTAGATTGTTTATAAATATATATATTATATATAATATATAATTATATATTAAACTTGTTCTGAAATTTCGTACCTTCAGCGACCGGCGCTTCGTCTCTATCACATCTTTTAACAGCCACTCGACCCGGCAACCCGTTTTTGTACCGCCCATTTCTTCCATTAGCCTTTGCACCATGCGGTAGCCTAGCAAGTGCCCGTGGCCCGGTTGCGGTGAGTGCCGTCGCCGAAGGTCGCGAGGATCCTCGAGGCCCCGCGTCTCGCCAGATTTCTATGTCCGTCGTAGCACGTTGACCGGACGACGGGCCGCCTAACGCGTCGCGGGCTACGAGCACTTCGCAACGCATCATCGCGCAATAATCGGCGAGGCATACTGCGTCTTCTGCCTATGAAATTATTAAACAGGACATATTTTACAATATCGATATAAAAAAACAAATTTCATAAGTGCATAAACCGTTTCTAAAATATATAATAATAAGTATATCTTCTTAGATATAAAAATGAATCGCAAAATGTGTTGGTAAGCGCATAACTCAACAACGCCTGGACCAATTTGGCCAATTCTTTTTTGAAAATGTTTGTTGAAGTCCAAGGATGGTTCTTACGGCGAGAAAAAATCAAATAATCGTCGGGAAAACCCTAAAAACAGCCCTTTTCTTCTTTAATCGAGTAGGCAACGAAATTTGTAGGAAAAACAATGATCTATGTCATGACATTTTGTGTAGTTTTTGATAATCTAATTTTTAATATATTTATATGAGCATAGAAATATCTTTCTATTAATTAACGAGCTATATTGACAGCCAAAAACATTGATGTAAATGAATGAAAATAAATTATGATTTGCATGATTAAAATTACTTACTTTCAAATGCTTATAGTGTTTCATTTAATTATTCTTAATTCACACCGAATTATTACCAGGGTGACGGTTCTGTTCCGGATAATTTTTTGCAAAGAATGGAAAAAAGGTAGGAACAAAACACCGCCACATTACAAATTTTTTTGACAGGACAGTCTGTCGGGTCGGCTAGTTATATATAAAAATGAATCGCAAAATGTGTTGGTAAGCACATAACTCAACAACGCCTGGACCAATTTGGCCAATTATTTTTTTTAATATTTGTTGAAGTCCAAGGATGGTTCTTACGGCGAGAAGAAATCAAATAATTGCCGGGCAAACCCAAAAAACAGCCCTTTTCTTTTTCTCATACAAACGTTTTTTAACTAAAACGTAGAATCAATTTGAGCTTAATTGCTATTATATAAAGTTCATATTAAATTACAAGCACTCACTGTATACTCCTTCTAAACGATTATTCGGACTTTGATAAATCTTTCTGAAGTTTGTTAAGGTAATTTTCTAGGACGTATGTGATTATAAAGTACTGGGATGTATGTGCAATATTGTAGAAATAAATGAAAAAAAAATGCAAAAAATGACATGTCATTGTTTGCATTGAAAACAAATGAAAACTATCATCTGCCAAAAATTTCAATTTACTTATGAACTTTGCTAGAAATTTATGAATATGAATAAGAAAAATGAAATGTCTACATCATTATTGTCAAAAAGCAGCTGAGATGTGCCAGAAATTAAAATAATATTGTTTACAATATATGTATGGCAGATTAAATGATACACATATGAATATGATATGACAAACTAATTCACTTAAAATATGAAATAAAGTATTAATCAGGGCCGGTCCTACCTTTAATGCGATGCATGCAAGAAATACGAGCGCACGCTTTAGGGGGCACCAACACAAGATTCGTATATTAAATTTTCAATATAGTTTTTTTTTAATATATAATTCCGTTGCATCTTTTACTAATCTTTTCACAATATTTTTAAAATTCGTAAAAATCTCACTTTATACCAACAAATGGGAAAGTAAAGAATACATACACTGCCCTCACGATATGGATTAGGAGAAGTTTAAGATGCAATTTTGGATATCTTAAATAATAATAAATTTAATTAATTTAATCCGACATGAAGTACCAGTGTTATGTTATGGTTATGGTTATGTTAAACCGTTTAAAAGACTTCAATTTCCAATGTAGTGTGGGAATTGAGACTTATAATTTTATTTAAAGCAGTTCTACATTCAGCATTGCTCATATTATAAATGTATATGCATTTTGGCGTAAAAAGTAATTTAAGAAACAATAATTATTATTTTTAACTAAACGGTAAATGTTAGTATATCATATTAAAAAATTGTAGACATGATTACAGGACAACATCAGTCGGGTCATCTAGTTTTAAATATATTTAAAAATAAACATTTATATCGGCACCGAATTTGTGGAAGCATGTTGTAAAAACTGCAACTTAAATAAAATACTAAAAAAATTTAGAAAAAGTTATCTGCCAGAAATAATAAAAATAATGATAATGCAAACTTTCACTTCATGATATAATAAAATGCAATTGTTTATCAATGTACTGTAAAAACATACGTATTAAATTTGAGAAGCTTAACAAAGTAATCAAAGAACCTGGCATTGAAGTATTTGTAACAGTAGATTATTGATTAACTAATTTATAGGAGCTATTTTTAAATAATTGATTCTAACTGATCATGAACCTTGTGTTATTGTTGTGACGTGATTCAACTGTTAGACATTGTACAATTAAATAGATTATTGGGTGACATTTTCAAACCTGCATATATATGTATATATATATATATATATATACAAATTTATTTTTTATCATTTTTTACTTACCACATTGATTTCATTCTTATGTCTGTTGTCAAAATGCAAATCCAAATGCCGTTCTTCGAAAAAGCTTTTTCCGCAAAATCCGCACGTCCATTGGGAAGGCCTGTGCTGCTGTTTGGCCGCTTGCTGGGGACCAAAAATGTCCCTCATTGGATGAAATGGACATTCTAGTGGAAATTTCACCTAAAATAATAAAATTCTCAATCGTAAATAAATACAATAACGGAATTTCATACCTAATATAATACATTGCAAGCTCTTATAGATTTTTTTCATTAGATTAAAAAATGCAATTAAGTTTAATTAAATGAATTCTTTTTAAAATAATAAAGTGATCGCTTACCTGGTATTTGTCTAATATAGGTATCCATTTATTCTGAACAATTTTTCTGACAAGTCGAGCGTTATCTCTTGGGCATGAGATTTTGAACACACTTGGTCCGGGCCATGGTATTAAAGAGAGTACGCAGAGCGCGATTACCTTTAAAAAATCAACAAATAATATATTCATTTATTAGTCATTGTATATATGAAGGATCATCACTATCTCTGTCTTTTAAAATAGATAGTTTACTAATGTTAACGATATATTCACTACTATCATATGTAGCAGATAAGTAAAATTTACATTTGCTTAATTGAATCATTCTTGTTGAAAAAGCAGATAGTTCACTTTGGTCATTTTATATTTATGTATAGTTTTAAAATGCTGATAGAAAAAAGTAAAATTTTCGACATTTAGTAGACACATTTATAAATTCTGCTGTGTTGACTAATGAACATATAAATCTTGCATCGATAAAATTAATAAAGCCGCAGAACCATCGGATTTAACCGGTTGGTTTGGGGGCTGCAGAAAACAATATCGAGATATATATATATATATATATATATATATATATATAATAAACATAGAAGAGCACCTACTAGTATGTGAAAATATAGCTATTATATGCGTACATGTTTTTCCCGCAAAAATGTTTTCGCCCCTTAATGAGAAATGTATTGATCTCAAGAAATTAAAGTATTTATTCAAAGAAGAAAATTTAGTAAAATGAATATTAATGGAAATATTATTATTATTATGTCGGGATATTTGTTTTAAAGCAATTATTAGAGCATAGTTGTCAGTTGTGCGCGCGTGGATAAAGCAATGAAATACTAGGGTGAGTATTGATCCGACGCCGCCACCAGTAAAACATGATAGCTCACTGTAATATGTTGCAGTTTGAAAGAAAAACGATATAATCACCTCAAAGTTAACTGATTTGGTCCACATTCATATTCCACTAGATTGCTTTTGATAGCATTCACGTTTTTATCACAATTTTGAATTTCTAACAGGGTAGTTTTAACACATTTATTCTCACTTTCGTACTGGGTTACTAACACCCCCTAAAATGCAGACAGAATTCCGCACGTGGCATTCGGATTCGGTCGTGATATTCCGTAGACTGAATAGTAAGAGCTCTGGCAAGACGTTTTTTGGCATTTCGAAAAATTTTTAACTAGTGTGGCGTATGGCATCGTGCCTTAAGGCAAATTGCTGGAACTTCCCGTACCAAAAATTATTATTTTTTTAAAAACGATTGACATTTTTGAAAAAAATTACTTCGAAAAAATTAGATTTTTGAGATACTAAAATTTGACAAAAAATTACTTTTTTTGAAAAAAAAAATATATTGGGAAAAAAATGTTTTCTTCATTTTGACATATTTTGGAAATTCTGAACTTTTTTTCAAAGCAATCGTACTGCTTTAACTGCATAGAGACGAAATGTCAAAGCGCGTAAGCGCCGCGTTGCAGTCAAACGGATGAACATTGGTACGGAACCCATGGGAATGTAAACAAAATTTATACTTATTGTTAAAATCTCTATAAAATATCTGATAATTTGATGTGCATATGTCTAATGATCATTTTTGACCGCCAAATGGCATTTTTTTTACTTTTTTCATTAGATCTCTGAAACCGCTAGACCTGCCTTCATAAAATTTGATAAATTATTTATCTTGTCAATATAAGTAAAACGTTTTTTGAATTATTAAAATCGGACGCTCCGTTCTCCTAAAAACTGAGTTAACATTTTTGGCACTTTTTGCCCCGTATCTTCGGAACGGCTAGGCCTACCTTCGCCAAAAACTAATCAGCACGTCTCCTTATCAATACGAATCAAATGTTTTTTGAATTATTCAAATCAGTTGATCGGTGTATTAAAATCGGACGCTCCGTTCTCCTAAAAACTGAGTTAACATTTTTGGCACTTTTTGCCCCGTATCTTCGGAACGGCTAGGCCTACCTTCGCCAAAAACTAATCAGCACGTCTCCTTATCAATACGAATCAAATGTTTTTTGAATTATTCAAATCAGTTGATCGGTGTTCCCGAAATCGTCGACGAAAATTTGTATCCGCACACACACACATATACACACACAAACACATACATCCATTTTTTCTAAGGTTTGCCAGAATACTCAGAAATCTTTGAAACGTAAAGATATATAAAAATTTTTATTTTCGATTTTTTTGCGATTATTATAACTTGCCCTACGGGAAGTTAAAAACATGTTTTATGAAGTTTTGTTGCCGTATCCTTTGGACAAAAATTTTTAGATAAAAAATATTTATATAAGCAAAGCTTATTCGTGTTATTATAATGATAATGAAAGTAATTAATTTCTCATTAATGTACAAATTGTGTATCAATAAATAACAAATCCGAAAAACGCCTACAAATTTCTACCAAATAATATCAAATTTGTTTTATGAGTTTCTGAAAAACAAAAGCATTGACAAAGTGTCAATGTCGTTTTAATAATATTTTCTATAGTTTTTGTAAAGATATATATATTTTTTTATTAATTTGAAGTTATTAGATCACAAAAAATCACAAACTTATATATTTTGAACCAATGCTAAGAGACATAAAAAAACATGCAATACTTTTGGTCACTACCAACAATTGTAAGTTTCATAAATTAATATTAAAAAAAATATTTGAGATATCAATTACACCATAGAAATAGTAGTATCTTATATTTTTAAAATCATGTTTTTCTCAAATATTTGCGACACTAGAAATTAAACTGTAGGTCGATCAAACTGTCACAGAGGTGTTAAACCCACTACAGAACAGAGCTACGTACTACGAAAATTGCCTATAAATATAATTGCTATTTGTATATACTTGCAGATTTTATGATAGTTGGCCTTCAGGCATTAATCATTCACCTTTTTCATTTTTAATATATAATTATTTGATATTATTATTATTATAATTAAAATAAATAAATGATTGAAATTTACTATAACTTTGAGCAATACAGGTTTGGCACCAGGCAAAACTGGTGCAAGAAAAACGCTCCTCAACGATGAAATAACTATTTCCTTAATGCACTCACAAGTATGATTTCAAATTTTGATTATAGATTTTAATAATAACAACGCTGAATGATTTTACTGCTTCCTTGATGCAAGTGGAACTTACCACCCAGTGCTCTTTGTATACATCTGTTCCTCAACATTGTGGTGCTCTAGGATTTCGCTGCGTAACAAACGACTCGTACCAGGTAAATTGAAAATAATTTATATATATTTGTATACACGAATATATATATATATACAAAACCGAAAAGTACCGTTCTAATACTCTTATGTAATCTAAAAATCTTCTCAGCACTAAGAACAAAAGATTATGAACAAAGTATACGGTATTATAACAGAAAATTTGAATTTAGCCTTTGTGATAAATTTCAAAATCTTAAGTTAAATATGATATATATATATATATATACATATATATAAATATATATATATATTATATACAGGGCCGGTCCTGGAGTCCTTAGCGCCCGCATGCAACTTTTTTTCTAGCGCCCCCCTCCCCTTATTAATATTAGTTGTTTTAACAGTTTATCATTAAAATTAATTATAATTAAAAATATTTTTTTATTATTCTGAATTTAGTACACACAGATATAATGCATAAGCAAATAAAATACATTGATTTTGAATTTATTTAGAAAATCTAGACGATTCGCGGGTTGATTATAATCAAATATTTTTAAATTTTCAATATTTTTTACATTTGTGCAATATTAATATTTGGGCTAAAGCCCCAAAAAAAAAAATTCTCATTATTTACAATATTCAAAATTGCGTCGTAAACTTTTATTTATTGATATCGTAAGAGCCGAATTGTATTCATCTTTACTTTCCCGTCATATTCAGAGTATCAGATTGTTGTTTTAAAGTTAAACTTTTAACGTATTTTAGAAGTATTGTCAAAAAATCAGTAAAAATGCAAAGAAATTACACATTTCTTGTACTATATTGAAAAAAAGCTAATTATATTTGATATGTATTATTTCTGCATAGTTAATAATTATTAAATTTAGAGTATGGATACCACAAGGTATAAAAAATGCCTTAAGATTTTCGTTCCAAAGTAAATTTTGCTTTCATTTCTCATATTTGTTCCATTTCCATAACCCTAACCACGCATATCTTCAACATTCAAAGTTCATCAGATGCGAAACATTTGCAACAAAAACAAAAGTTACAATTCAATTTCTCGGAATAAACGTGCCATTTTCTAAGCACTGACTCCCCATTTTTTATTTTCCCGATTATAATTTGTTTATATTTTTTAACAATTTCCGTTTCAACTAAATCAGCTCGCAATTTTCCGTCAATAATGCCCAATAGTTAATTTAATCTTTCGCAAGTTTGCGCTTATGAGATTGGACAAGATATTTTTTTTTTCGATTTCACGGTAACTTCAAACAAAGAAAAAATTAAATAAGTAGATTAAGCAATAAATATGGCTGTTATTTACAAATTTGCAGCTGTTATTTTTAATTGGTTAATTGTTTTTACTGATATCACATTGCAAAATAAATATGCTTTTTGTGTCTCCGTATCCATAGTTAAGTTAAATTTTTTGTTATAATTTATTAAGTATTCTAGATTTTATATAAATAATAAAAAATAAATTATAAATAATATATTATAAATTTAATTTCCGAAATTTAATAATAATTATATATATATATATATATATATATATATTATTTATTGAATTGCATACTTCAATTGTTCATCTTCAGCTTTGCTACTCTCCCGACGAGTACGGGAATACTGAACCACCAGAGTTAGAGCATCATTGCCCAAGTTTGACTGTATGTGATGAAAATAATCCAGTTTTTTGTTCTCCCATTGATTTGGATCTCACAACAACTGAATGTCTGCAATCAGCATTGAAAAGAGATTGCCAAACAGAAGCTGATACGACCGAAGTAATGTTACTAATGCTAAAATTAATACATCACTAAAAAATAATAGTCCTATTTTTTCCAGAATTTTCTGTGAAGTTTACTTTATTATATATTATACACTTAGTAATTACTTTATTATTAGCTGTTTCAACCTTCATTTTCACGTAACATTTCGTCGATTTATTTACGCATTTATAAGCTTTTATTCGAATCTTCTATAGTTCTTTGATTTCATTAAAACATGAATCACAATCATGCTTATTAATAACTTCCACAAAAAAAACACAATCGCGGTTTATACACATATAAAACAGATCATTAAAACAAATAAAATATTTCTAAAAGTGATTATATTTATGGCATAAACTCCTACAATGTTTCCATGTCCAACTGTTCCCGATAGACTGGCTGAAAAAATACTAAATACAAAATTTGTTTCTGGATTATGGACAATGTAAACTTGAGGGATAAGCATAAATCTATGAATGTATAATTTGATAAAAATCGATTAATTAAATTTGCAATCTATATTTTGCCTAATTCACAAATTTTCGATTACCGATACGCATCCTGATATTTAATTTTTATATTTATTCTTGTTAAACTTAGCCCAGTAATTTGAAAGTATTTTTATTAATTTCTATAGCAAATATGTATAATATTCCAGATGCATTCTACTTCAACAAAGATTTTTTTTTTGAATTAACTACATTGGTTCAGAGTAATCCAAAATGTTAAAGATACATTGCATGCATACATTGATAAAAATGATCAGGTGCTCTTGAAAAATATAGATTTCAAAAAAATTAGTTTTCATTCCTTGTGATTGCAATAACGTAAATTAGATAAATATAATTAATATGTCATCATTTACCTTATAGAATTACGATGACAAAGCTGAACCTGAAGAAATGGTAGAAGAATGCTGTGGAACTACGACTGAGGTCGTAACCGATACGAAAAACGATTGTTCTTCAAATTATCAATACATAAGGAGCACAAAACAATCAAGGTACTAAATACTGTGAGTATAGTATATAAAGTTATTGCAAGGAATATATAACATTTACCTATTATTTAAGAAATATGCGGCGTCACAATGGCTCAGCCATTAGTTCAATGAAACCGATGTCATCAAATGCTGCACTTCAGGATGATTTTGATATGGATTTGGATCTATATGCAACCACAACTATCTGCACCACTATACGAGATTCCATTTTGTCTGACTTAAATATCGGCATCACAACTGGCACAACTGACTTTCCACCAGAAACAACCGCACCGATATTCGATTGCATTGTGCCAGGTACGAATTAATTTAGTTTTATAATTATAAATGACTATGTTTTAAAATTTCACTTCACTATAGAACAGAAAAGTCGTTATGGGCATCTTAATTTAAACCGCAAAACACTTTCATTATTTTTTTTAAATAAAAAGGTAAATTTGATGTTGCCGATATTGGTCCATTGTATTTAACATGTCTCGTACAAATAAATATATTTTCACAGGTCTTTTTGCTGACCCAGCCAACTGCAAAGCGTATTATGAATGCGAACCACGTGCCGATGGAAGCGGTTTATTTGCCCAACATAAATATTGTGATGTAAATATAATATCTTTTATATTTATAAATAATGATATTTTAATATTATATAACATCATAAACTAATCAGTAAATGTAAACAGCATAAACTCTTATGTGAAAACAAGATTTCTGAAATTTTGAATATTGGAAGTAGTACAAATTCTAGTCATAAAAAATTAAGTTATTATAATACCTAGTTATATTACCAGTTATATTTTGAGATTTTATTTTTATATGTATAGTGTCTAAAATAAACCTCATGAAATTAAATAAGTCTAGAGAAAGATTTTATACTAGTACAATATACATATAATCAATATTTAATATCCGTTAATATATAATATTTGTTGCAATTAATTGACCTTGTTTGCAAATTATCTGCATAGATTTTTGGAAAGTTTGAGTAAAGCCAATAGAAAAAGAACACAATTTTTAATATTCATAACAAAGATATTTTATGATTAAATGTGCTCATTAGAAGCATTACCTACTCGAAAGATTATTATTTCAATGTTTTGTTAATATTCTTTACATTTATATTTTTGTATTTAGGTTTAATTTTTATTTTGCATAAACCTCAATAATTTTGTATTATAAAATTTAAATTTTGACTGACAAAAAAAGTGCTCATTATATAAACTTTTTTTATTATTTTTACAGACAGGAAGGACATTTATACAAAAGTATCACAATTGCGTATTAAAAGGTACAATTCTTGATGAAAGTACAGCAAAACGTAAAGAACATGTAGCTGCTAATGGGAAATCAAGTAAGAATATTTAACTATAACTGTAATAATATATAGAGTATGCACCTCATGGATACTTTATATTTAGAAGACAGTGCAATATTAGAAAATGATGACGAAGAACACTATAGTGAAGAACAATTAAATAAAAATAAACGAGATGTCTATGATTATAATGTCCCAAAAGATTCTTCGAATTCATACCGTGAGGTAAAATAAATATTTATAATATAATAACAAAAACTATTATCTTTGTGCAAGTGCTAACTAACAATATTCATGATAATATATCAAATTTTATTTTGATTTTATCAAAGGTTCTCGAGAAAGCTCGCAAATTGGTTAGTGAATCACAGGAACTGGATCAAGAAAAATCACAAGCAAATAAACCTAGGGCCGATTCAAGTACTGTTAAATTGAAAAATGTTATCTATTAACTACTTTAAACATATTTCGCAGTAATATTTTTCTCATGAATAATATGTTTTTAGCTATTTATGATGATAATTCATTTACATGCACTGAATCTGGAGAAATGCCAGATCCATATGATGAAACTGTGTTTTATATATGCCGCAAGATGCGAGGATCACCGGGGTACTATACTACAAGAATGATTTGTCCGCCGGTAAAGCAAATAAGTTATAAGTGGATTTATGAAATAAAGTTTTTTTTGTATGGATTTGGATGTTGTTTCGGGTAAAAACCGAATGTAGTTTTATTTGATTAATATAGTTGGAGACTCGAAATTCATAATCTATATAATTTTCAAAACAGGTAATGACCCTGTAATGCATCGATCTATCGACGATATATATTGTGTGTGAAACTCGATTTTAATTAATTGGATCAGCATTTTACAAAATTAAACTGTAATACTTGAAAAAATTGAACATAATCTTTTACAGAATACGTCTTTTGATCCATTAAGAAGAATATGTTCAAGTACGCAGAAAAGAAAGAACGAGATTCGAAGGGAAAAAATTCGGAAGCGGAGGCAAAGCATCAATTTAGAAGATATACAATCCAAAACTAGCGCATTTGATACTTTCAGGTAACTTATCTCATTTTAGTCTTGAAAAAAAATTATAAAATCGTCTGAAAATTCACTCAACTTATTGTTTGTAGTTGCGCTTCGGAGGGTAGATTTCCGGACAAATTGGATAGAAATTCATATTACTTATGTTTCAAAAACGCAGGAAAATTTAATGCTATGCATATGAAGTGTCCCAATGAACATTATTTTAGTGGCTATGACAATTCATGCGTAAAAATGTCAGAAGTTTCCACAAATTATATAGTGAAATAAAATCTAATAATTATATTTCTAATATTGTAGTTGACAGCGAAAATAAATATTTACTTTATTGATGAGAAAAATGTAGTATGGGAAAACTTATCAAACAAACTTAAATTATTTCATGTAAATGATGTTTTTATTTGCCCACAGAAATAGCCTCACGATCATCAGACAAACTAATCAACATTATTTACATCTATTTTTGTTTAAACTGTAAACACTTTTTTCCTCATCATTGAAGACATCAACAAATTCGATCTTTAATAGAAACACTTTCTCAATACGATTTTGATACCAAGATTCCGAGTGTAGTTAAGGTGTATATCACAAGCTTTCTAAGAAGTTGTTGAGAAAACATTTAACATAATAAAAAATCGATTTAAATGGTCAAGGCAAATATACTTTTCGCAATTTCTTTATTAATAGAAATTATGTTAGCATATACATTTTGTATAATGAGCTCGCATATATATTTTGCTTAATTTTATATTATCCTCATTAGATGTAATAAGGAACAGCTAAATATTACTGCATTATTATTTAAGATCATGAATTGTAAGACAATATATTACAATTCCACTAAAACTTAAAATGGCCTATATATTATTCAACTATCCTATTTAATATTATAAAACTAGGTAAAATTCTCTCAATTCTCTTTCAAAATATATAAAATTTGTTTCAATATGTCTGAAAACTTAAATAGCAGAAATACATCTTAAAATAATATGCATATCATGTAGAAACATATAAGATAATAATCTATACGCAAATACATACAAGTGTATGTATAAATACATTAAAATATGTATGTACACATGGTATACATACATAAATATGCATATTATGTATTAATAAATGCGGCACGGAAAAGGAGATAATTTGAGTTTGGAATAAACATTCATCAAATCACATTAAACATTTGAAAATAATAGCATATATTATATTAGCATGTCAATTTCTTAGTTCATACACTTTTCAATCATTTATAAACTTATACACTATGTTTAAAAAAATAAAAATCCTTGGTTTAAGCTGGCAGCTGCAGTTTTTTGCCTTTCAGAACTAGTAATTATAAAAATATGTTAATAAATATATAAATAATATTAAAAAAAATGTCTTAAATACCTTTGGTAATATACAAGTAGAAGAAATCGCAGTATAATACTGTTTGTACAGCTCCAGCTACAATGGCAATTAAGTCATAATGATCTTCAGCAAGATATCTATATACCTTTAAATGAAAACATAGTAACGTAAGTACAAAAAATAAGTGGGAAAACTTCTAAACTAAAATTGAACTTTCTAGTTTAATAATATGTATTTTTTTTTAAATATTTAGGTATGTACATTGGCCAATAGGAACATGATGTAATACCCTGAATCCGAAATATAATTTTAAATGAAATAGAAAATATAGATCACGTAAGATTAGTTTTCTTTTCAAGTTTTAAGTAGAAATTTACTTTAATAACCATATTTAAAACACCAAACAAAAAGTGCTAAATCACTTAATTAACTGCTTACATAATTCATTATAACTAACACTAAATAAATTCTTACCCAATTCAATAAATACAGAGCCCTATAGCTTCCCAAAGCAAACAAATAATGAGAGGTAATGCTTTCTGCTTCCCCTGTTTTACTGACCATAAACAATTGCGGCAATATAGCAACTGACTCCAAATAAATACTAAAAGTCCATAGAATCTGTCACAAAACAAAAAAAAATTAGCAAACAAATATTAAAAAAAAAAACAATCATATAATCATACTTTACCTCTAGCACTGAAAAATCATGGTTGATGAGCAAAGCCAGTACAGCAGATGGTAAAATTAAGAACTCAATTCGAAATGTATCATGATTCGAATCATAAGTAGCTTTGAACTTAATGTACATTAGATAAAGGGTACCACATGATGCAGCAATAAATACTAATTTCATAAAAGTATTATAAGCAGATATGAAAGTTGTTACGAGATCCAAGTACCGGGTTATATAGACGATTGCGAATAGAAATTGTGATTTTCCTGATATACCTGCAATAAAACAGTGAAAAAGTGTTCACTATAAAAAGTTTAAATACACTTACTATAATATACCTTTGAACTTAATTTTAGTGATAAACTTTGAATCACAATAAAAAAATAATTACAATGAAATTGAATAGAATTCAATAAAAAGAACTTCATGAACAGAAAATGAACAGAACAAATAGGATATAAAACATAATATATATATAATAAAGACGCATACATAATTGTATCTACCTGTAAGTGGAAAATTTAAACATTGATTCTGTATTATATTACTATCGAGCAACTTAACTTAATAGCCCTTTTTGTTTATCATTTTTGCAGTTCATTTCATCTTTATTTATTGCAAGAAATAACTAAAGCACGATTTGATCATTCACGCACAAAGTGAATTATATTTTGAACAAATAGTTCTTCATAGATTTTTGCACAATTATTAAAAACATGCTAAGATTCTCAGATATAATTACAAATTTTAAATTCCACATTCTTAAAATGTGTACTTTAAAATTGAATTTTACTGTGAACTATGTAGTTAGAAGCTTTTCTTTTTATTATTCAGGAATATTATCTAGTACTTCAATTTATACAAGGTTTAGATTATAAGATTATTCATAAGAAGATCATAGAGCAATAGAATTATTCAACACAATATTACAGGCACTTTTGAGTAACTTTTCTGAACTTGAAATCTCCGGTAAAAATTAAACGATTTGACTTAGAATAACTAGAAAATAATAGTTTGAAATATATACATTGCGAATAAATATGATTTACTATCTACAAAAGAGCATGTTGCACAGTTTTCAATAGTAATTTACAAGCAAGAGCAAATACTCTACAAAACCGACAGCAAAATTTCGGGATCATATATATTTCGTAGTGTATTCTTTAAGTACCTGCGCAAGATCGAGTTTTCCATATTTTGAGTAATAACACTATAACAGCAACTAAATGAGAGATATCACCCGTTAACCGGAAAATATTCATTTTTACCAAGTCTATCAACAAATGTCATACACAAAATCCTTAACTCACAAACGTCTATCAAAACGACGTGGCTTGGCACTCGCTGACTCGTGGCTACAGACCATAGATAAGACGATGACTGAAATATATGGGACGTCCTGATGGAACTGATAAAGAAAATGAGAAAAAGTACTTTCAAATGATAAACACTATCAAAAAATAGAATCACATATATAACTAGTTTGAATGATTCATTACATATCTATATACTCTTCTTTCATCTATATTTATATACAATTTTTTGTTAAGTGCCTGGCACACATGTGTCTGTAATCGTTTTACGTTTCTTGAACCAGACTGTTTACGGTTCGTCAAAATTTTTAATCATACATTTTTTTTAACTTATTGTAGGATAAATTCTCTTGTTTTATTTATGGATACGTTATAGTAATCGCAAAAATAATCGAAAATGAAAATGTTTAAATATCTTTATGTTCCAAAGGTTTCTGAATATCTTGGCATATCTTAGAAAAAATGGATGTATGTGTGTGTGTGTATGTGCGGATACAAATTTTCGTCGACGATTAACCGATCAACCCACTCTTCTTTTATCTATGGATCAACCGATTTGATTAATTCAAAACCGATTCGTATTGATAAGGAGACGTGCTGATTAGTTTCTGGCGAAGGGAGGTCTAGCCCTAGACAATAAAATAATGTGTCTAGCCGTAACAGAGATACGGGGCAAAAAGTGCCAAAAACGGTAACTCAGTTTTTAAGAGGACGGAGCGTCCGATTTTAATAATTCAAAAAACATTTTAATTGTATTGGCAAGATAAAGAACTGATTAACTATTTGAGAAGGCAGGCCCACGGTTATGTACTCTCAATAAAAATAATTTAAAAAAATGACATTTGGCGGTCAAAAATGTTTATTGAACATATGTACATAAAATTATCAGATATTTTATAAAGATTTTAATTATGTGTACTGATTTTGTGTAAATCCGTGGGTTCCGTACCAAGATTTATTTATTTAGTTATTCTGCAATATATATACAGATTACATTTACTTAGCAGAGATTGCTGACAAGTTGTTTACAATTGGTTGTTTACAAATTAGTAGATATCCCCAGTGGCTAATATAATAAAAAAACTAAAAACAAAAGGGAATGCATTTTTTAAAGTTTTATTATTAAATTTCAATACATAAAATACTTTTTCACAAAAATTATGAGACTCATACCTGATTCGGATCATGTATTGATAGAAAATAATATTCAATCACAATTTTATGACCTATGCTCGTGATGTTTAAGTACGACCCTACTTTATGACCTCAACTTTTGATGTTACATTCAGCCCGACTTTTTATTTGAGAGCCTTGTCAATTCATGTTTGGGCCAATATTTTTGTAACGATTCAGGCCCTTTAAAGCATGCTGCATAGAAAAGTAAACATGGCATGATGAGTCACTCACAACGACACAACCATGTGTGCCCGTAGCCTAATGACATTTGCGTTTAAATTTTTTAAAATCTCATTAGGAATAAGTGTTATAAATACAAAATTTCAAATCATTTTATGAATTATGAGTTATTTTGAAAATCATTATTTTATTTGCTTTATTGTTTCAATTTTAATTCTAATCTGAAAACAATTTTAATCAGGTAACACTATGACTATGGACACATAATGACACTGAATGTACTACAACTTCACTCGTGTTTAGCAAAGTTTTTAATGAAATAAAGTTGAAATGGGTATGTTTATTTTTATAAATATTCTTACTAATACTTTGTAATGTCATTACAAAGAATAATTATTAAATAAAATAGAAATCTAGTATTTTCTAACCATGAACGCCTCTCTCATTGCTTGTTCGGTTATTTTAAGTGATACTTCACCTGCAACAAAGTAATAAAGACCAATAATTTCAATTGATATAAATACCAGTAGAATTTTGAATATTTTATTTGATACAATTGAATTTACTTTGATATAATATTATAGAACAAGGGCATCACCCATGAAAGCGCCTGTGCAGCTTGAGAGTGGAGGCCGTGCATTCGACCACACAGACAGCTATTGGGAAAATTGGGAGGAAAAGCAAGGCTTGAGTTATTCTCAAGAAGATTTAGATGCTGTTGATAATAATAATAAACAAAAAGAGGTGGAGGTTATAATACAGAGAGAGAATACTGAGGTGATTTTAGTTACTTATATGCACATAATATTATGTGATATTAAGTCGCTGTCAAATTAGCGCTTTTTAATAGTTTTGTTCGAACATCAAACATATTACATATGCTTTGTTTTATTTTCAATGACTGTAATCGAGCTATTATTAGTTCATATATATCATAAGGAACAAATGTTTGTCTTAAATTTCGATCTGTTTGAAATTTCAATTGCTATAGTTGCAATTTTTTTTATTAACTCTTTATTGTATGTTTTTGCAGTATAAACAATTAGTATTCTTCCTTATATTTTGACTGCTGTGAAAATTATTACTATATATACATTATACGTCTTCTTACCTGTACTTAATTGTAATATATATATTCATACGCACATTATAGTTTTTTCAATTGTTTAGGATATGCCTTCTGCAACGAGCAGTTCTCATGGGTCTATCCCTAATAATGAAGATTGTGGCATTAGAGATGTCTGGAAGCATAATATGGAAGAGGAGTTTCGGACAATACGACAGGTAAATAAGCCAAATATCATCTTTTTGTTTCTATACAAAGGTTTATCTATTTACATTTACTATATTATAAAATACTTTGATAACATAAGGTACCTATAATATTTTGATCTCCTTTGATTAATGAACTTACATTATACCACTTTGTGTTTTTGAATTATTCAATAAAGCATATTTATAAAGCAAAATTAAACCTATTCTATAACTAATCTTGTGGCATTTTAATATCTGTAAAATTATGTACTATATTATATGTTGTTGAAGGTTTATTTACTTTGAGACTAATGTAGAAATGATTATGATTTTTCAAAGGCTTGGTATAGTTTATTTAATAATAAGCAAATTAAATATATATATATACACACATGTTTTTGTGAAATTAGGCAGTAATTTATTAAATGATTCCCTTTAATACGACACCAGGCCTACATATATTTTTGGCGAGTCATCTGATTTAAGAGTTGTTTTAGCAATAATTTAGTAATGTCTACCTTATAAAACAGTGATTTCATTAACTTTTATTTCACACACTATTTACTAAAAAAAATTAGATAAATTGACAACTAAATCAGAATACAAAATTTGATTTTTTTTGCATGAGCATGAGAATCACTGTTGTAAGGTATACTTACTTATTAATAGCTATGAAAAGTAACTAATAGCAGCTTTGTCAAGTGATATTATTATTATCAGTTCATGAATTATGAACTTATTTTCCAATATTTAGTTTATAAATAAGAGCACAAATACACTTATGCAATTAAATGAAATATTTAATTGCCGCATCAGATGACTCGCTAAAAATATACATAGGCTTGGGCACTTACAGTATATGTTTTTATTATGCTTTCCCACATTTTAGTGGATGTAGCAATAGCCTAGTATTATAATATTTTACACAAAAGGCTAATATTAACATACCTCTTATTCAATACAATAATTCCTTCAAAGCTTCACACCATACCATTCCTAAATAAACCTTCTTCCTCGCATGTTGCCCTACATATCCTGTTTCCTATTGTTACAGATCGTAAAGCACTATGATCATGTGTCAATGGATACCGAATTTCCTGGAGTTATCGTACGTCCCATAACTGGCCCAGATCAGAATTGTCAAGTTTTGAAGTTACAAACATGCGACATAATCCAAAGCAAATATGAGATATTGTATAAGCAATTGGAGAAATATGTAATAATATCTGTGAATAATTTTATTGCAATTAAGTAAAATAGAACTAGTTCAACAAAATTTTAAATAGATTGCTCTTGTCTGTAGTTGGTGTGGGAAAGGCATAACCAGCTCACATGTTTTTCTAATTATGTATTATGTTTTGTGAGGTATATTTTTATCAAATTTGCAAAGAATATATATATATAAAATACTATCTATTAATATGAATTAGATCAAATGGTTAGGACCAAATATAAGAATAACAAAATTGAAAAGGCAAAAATAACATACAATTAACACTTGACTTAAATATTTTAGATAATTTATTTGCTATGATATGTGAAGTATATTTTAAAACTGTGCACTATTCTGAAATCAATTTATTTATGGTTTTATAAATTTACAAAACTCTAAGACTTAATTATGTAAAATAATGTATGTAACTTATCAGAAATAGAAGATTATTTGAAATTTTAAATAGTTTAGTAAGAATTTATATAGACAAATGTAGAATACCAAAAACCTCTTACCCTTTTTCCTATAGGTTTGAAAGTAATTCTTTCCAAATAACCAATTTATTAAAACATATATTTTAATATCTTCTATTTTCAGCTGGTCACACAATATAATTACATTGCAATGGATACAGAATTTCCTGGTGTAGTTGCGAGGCCTATTGGAGAATTTCGATCAACTGCAGATTATCAATATCAATTACTAAGATGTAATGTAGACTTGCTAAGGATAATACAACTTGGACTGACCTTCTATGACAAGCATGGAAAAACTCCTTCTGGCTATACCACATGGCAATTTAACTTCAAATTCAACTTATCGTAAGTTCATCTATAATAATTTAGAACCTGCAATACATTGTTACAACTGCTATTGCTTAATCTATAATAATTTTAGTATACATTACTTACATAACATGCTTCTATTGTTCTTTCATGCATACTGAAATACACTCATATGCTTACTTAATCATTATATTTTCAGGGAAGATATGTACGCTCAAGATTCAATTGATTTACTCACAAATTCGGGTATACAATTTAAGAAACACGAGGAAGATGGTATAGATCCTTTAGAATTTGCTGAAATCCTAATGACGTCTGGCATAGTATTAATGGACAATATCAAATGGTTAAGTTTTCATTCTGGTTATGATTTTGGATATTTACTGAAACTATTGACTGACCAAAATTTACCACAAGAGGAAGCAGATTTTTTTGATTTATTAAAAATATATTTTCCAGTTATATATGATATAAAGGTAAATATAACATCATGATTTATCAAGGTCTTGGAGACCATTGAAGCTATTTGTTGTTTAAATGAAAAAGATTCATGTATATTTGATTATTCTAATCTTTTTTTCAGTATCTAATGAAATCTTGTAAGAATTTGAAAGGTGGGTTACAAGAAGTGGCGGATCAACTAGAATTACGCAGAGTTGGTCCCCAGCACCAAGCAGGATCCGACTCACTGTTAACGGGGATGGCATTTTTCAAAATGCGCGAGGTTTGTTCAAGTGCAAATTTTGAATCCAATGCAAATATATTTGAATTCTTTCAATATGAATTAAATTGAAATGTAGATTTTCAGTATGAAAAATGAGATGTTAAATGATTGTATTAAATTAGAAGTAAAATATATTTATTTTCTTATTTAATTTTTTACTCGGTGCCGACTTGAAGTAAAAATGAATAAATGATCATAATGATAATGAAAAATTTATTTTTCAGATGTTTTTTGAAGATAATATTGATGATTCCAAGTACAGTGGTCATTTATATGGTTTGGGTATGTCATTTTCAGCAAATGGAAATAATACACCCTTTCACGATAATGGGGACAATAGTTCCTCATCATAAAAAACTTATAAATCTTATAAGAAACTTATTTGTATATTTATTATCCTAAGGAAGCAATTGCATGTAATTATAAAAACAGCTACAAAGAATTTTTTAAGAAAACATGAAACAAAGATTATAAATATTAATGTGGATGAATCAAAATTTTATGAAATAAACCAATTAGTGAGATAGTTTTAAATATAGTCGATATTTATTTGTTGATTTTACCAAACATTTAATTCCAGGACAAAATAATTATCTAAATCTTGTTTACATATTTGTTTAATTTATTTACTTTAGTTTTTAATTTAAGATTCACGTTTGTTAAATGTAATAAACTTATAACATGTTTTGTTATATATTTTCATTATGTGTAATTTTTATTGTAAAGTAGTTAATATAAGTTGTGCGTTTTAATGATGTTTTTAACTGGTATCCTAAATTGTCTGATTCAAATAGATTGATCCAAAAAGCAGAATATATTAAAAACCATAGTAGTTAATTATTTATAATTTTAGAGTGCATATATTTACATTTTATATACATTGTTTTTAAAATTTCATAATCATTATTACATCGAAATAAAATTTTGTGGACATACATTTTTAGTTTTTTATTTGATAATAAATAAATTAATTCAACATGAAATTAATATACTTTGAAACCAGTTGTTCATAAACTACATTAAAGGGTCCTGGTAAATGATAAGTTATTGACATAATGAATCCGTAAAATCTTTTCTCAGTAGTAAATCGGTCATCCCGTTAATCAGCTTGGACAATTGGTTTAAAAATAGTAAAAATTCATCTTTTTTTTTATTTAACAAGAAAATAACAAGTTTAAAGAAATATATAAATCGTATACATAAAGTTTTTTTTAACAGATCTGATGTATCAGTTAATGAAATCATGTTTTGTTAATTTAATTACAGTACAATGATATACTATATCATATATATATACAATTTATCTTAATATTTAAAAGTGCATGGAGTTAATATTTACAAATAAATTTATTTGCATATTTCTGAATAAAAGTTATTCAAATTATTTTATTCTTTAATTACTTAGAAGTTTTTGATGGTTTCAGAAAATAGTTTCACATATTAAAATTTAAAATCAAACACTAAACTAAACTTATATATTTATTACAATTAGGGCTGCCATTTTCGATATTCATAAAATATAAGACTGTAAATGTGTGTTAAAAGTAAATCTTATAAGAATAGAATTATTACGATTTTGGGTCTTTAAGTAAATTGTCGATTAAAATATTATGATTTACTTTTAACACACATTTACAGTTTTCATTATTATATTATATTATTATATTATTTTTATAAAAATAAAAATATGAAGTACGAATAATTTTTAAAATCAATAAATTTTGTAATTGCTTCATTGCTTCATTGCTTCATAAGCTATTAATTTTCTTAATAACAATATTGCATAAAGTTTGTATCTTATTTTTATTGTGAACAACTATATATTGTTAAATATATTTCACAATTTACATTTGAAATAAAAATAACCGTATCTTGGAAAATTAAAAAATAAATTTAAATTTATTTATTACTAATGAAGCACTTAGGTATGATTTCCGAAATAAATATTATTTTTTTATACAGAATGTATAACTAAAATTATATTTTTTAAATCCGACTCGAAGTATTAATTCACCCAAATATGAGAGAGCCCTATTTTGAAAATAATAAACATAAAAAAAATAATTTAGTGTTTGATTTCATAAATTTTCATTAATATTATCAAATACGATGGCATTATTTTTGGCGATTGACTAGCACTGGTATTACAAACTATAACACACTAATGAATAGAACATTCGGATCGAATAGTAATATGCATTTATCACAGTGCAGTTTATATACTTTCATTATTAAATCATTTTAATGCGTAAATATATATTATATACACGGTTGAATAAGAATACTTAACTTGGGATTAAATACTTAAATATGTAAAATAATCACCATTATGTTTATAGAAAATATAAAGCTACAACAACTTACGTAGTATTCACATTTTCGCTAGGAGATACAGTAATTAATGCATCACGTTGAAAATATATATTAATTAAAACCATAAGATAGCAGATGGAAATACCTTTTTAGTTTGCACTATTACAAAAATATCTATATTGATGTAGTTGAGATATAAGTCACTGATGTCTTTGTCACTATCACGCACTACACACCTCACAATAAACAATGGGTACTGTGAAAAATGTTCTGGATTCGAAATCCATAGAATATTATGTAATAGATTATAATATTTTTGTAACTGTATCTTTAATAGTAGAACTATCTAGCACCATATATACGTACTCAATATACAGACAGTTGATTTTATAAAAATAAACTGATCATTTTTAAATGGTCGATAGATGTACTTACATATTTATGTTTAATAAAAGCCAATTTTATATATTCAAAGTCAATATTATTTCCCAATTATGATGCTAAGCCATTCATAGGGTAATTTATTTAGAATGTTTACCAACAAATTGACGAGTATCTTTTAATTTATGCGATTTATTAATTAATTTTCCAATCAGCAGATTTTTCTTGAAATTTGATATGCCAATAACAAGAAAAAATGAAAGTTGCATCATGAATAGTAATTTTTCTCCAATGCTAAAGGCTTATTTCAGTGAATATTTTTTCAAACATTAATTCAGACCACTTTTTCCTGATTGAACTTATAATTTCAAATATGTCGTTTTCCTCATGTGAACATCGTTTTAGGTCTTTTACTCAAACCTCCGGGCTTTCCCTAATTGACCCGGTGCCGGTTCGCTCGTCATTGAGGTACTTCGAAGGTCTCGCTATCCGGGCTCCCGTATCCGCTAGAACCGTCGTCTCTGGTCACGTGGTTGTGTCCAGCCAGATTGACGTTGTTTTGATTGGCGATCGGCTGATGTTGCTGGGAAACTGTGTTGTTGTTGAGGTTGGCTGGCTTGTCTTGGTATAGAAGTTGCAGGCGGTCTGCCGGCTGATGCACGACTGTCGTCGCGGCCGGGACCTGGGTCAGGCCCGGCGGCAACCCGACACCGGGACCGCGTCCCGGACTCATATGCTCTCCGGCTGGCTGGAAAATAAAAAAAATAAAAGTCAGTATTGTTACATAAGAATAATTCACGTCATGCTCAACTATTGATGCATACACATATGTATATAGATTTCCGATGACGAAAGATATATTAATTAGTTGTAAGTACTGTTTTGCCTTAACCCATTCGAGACGGCGATTTTTTTCGAAGGCGATCCTCAAAAGCATTTTTTTTTTGTTTCATTTTTAATAAAAAAAAAACTGGTTTACTAAGGAAATCACCCAATTTGTCAGCAAAGGGTCTGGCCGTGTTTCCATACAGAATTGGCCCCACACTGGTATTTAAATGATTTTGATGCCATTTTATAGGTATTTTCGAGAAAATTCGAAATACCAAATTTCAAATCCGTAGCTCATCATTTGGCAATAACAAATAATGTAAAAAAAATATTTGTTAGTGCGTGAAAAGGTAAAAATGCATTTTCATTTTCTACCAGTGCGGCTCTTTGGACTACTTTTATATTAGCATCATTCGAAAGCCTGTACACATTTCTTCTGTTATCCAAAAATTATTATCCAAAAATGTTAACGTCATTCTATTTATACTGATCTTGTCTACGTTGCTCATAACAAATAATGTGGAAAAATTATTTATTAGTGTGTGAAAAAGTGAAAATGATTTTTCATTTTCCATTTTCTACCAGTGCGACTCTTTGGACTACTTTTATATTAGCATCATTCGAAAGCCTGTACACATTTCTTCTGTTATTCAAAAATTCATTTAAATGTGAGTGGAACTTTGGGTGAAAAGTTGGAAAAACTTAAGCTAGTACGCGCGCTGCCGGTACAAGACACCCATATAAAGTCGCTTTGCAAGAGATCAAGCATAAGGCTCGTCGTTATCGCGTGTCTCGAGAAAATCGGTATATAAGTATGGAAATATTTATTAAAAACCGTATAGAGTATATTCATTAGTCATAATGAAAAGTCCAACGCGCCGAATAAAACAATAATTATTATTATTAATTATTTTCATTCGCCGTATAAGTTCTGACCAATATATTTCAATGTATGAAAAACTTAAGATTTCAATTTTTTTCAATATTTCACTGTGTGTGCAACTCGCTCCAGAAAATTTTTATTGCGAGGAGCGGATTGATTACCATTTTGGCAATGTAATGTAAAATAAAAATACATAATTGAAATTGATAAATATTTATTTTAAAAATAATTAGATAATATAAAATCGTTATGTTGCTTCCAATAATGAAGAACAGAATATAATGCAAAGAAAATTTTTAAGAAATAGTAATAAGTTAAAAAAATAAGTTGAATAATGAAGAAAATAACATAAACTACAAATATTCAATTGTTCATTTTATCGGTATATATAGAAGGCGATGCTGTTGACAATAAAATGGGCTTTTACATTGATATTTTATAAAAATGTAGATTTAGAAATTCCAAGCAAAATGTTTTGGTTTGTTTTGGTGAGCAATAAAACCAATGCCAAATTTTGTTTTTTCTGTATTTTACAGATACTATTAATTCAAAAAATATCTTATCTCGACGACTATTTTACTCAGAATAATTGATATTCAATTGTAAAAATTAAATTAATTCATTTAAATTCGTTTTATACATTTCGGAATTTACAAATGTCTTCTATTTCAGAGTGGACTTAATCAGTACTGTCTACGAAATACCTCAGAACGTCAGATGGTTCGGCATGGATTCTGATCAGAATCAAATTAGAAAATTTAGATAATTTTTCATAATTCAACCGCTTATTGTAGACCTATAATATTTTAGTATGTTATTTCAGACTACAAAATCTATCGTTATACAAAGTTTCATCCAATTAATATTTTTTTTTAATATTTAATAACCAATAAACGGCCCGACCGAACTTTACCAAAAACTAATCAACGCGATTCCCAACCAATATCTTTCGAACAGTTTTTGAAGTTTTAAAATCGATTCAAGTCTGTGGGCTAAAATTTAATAAAAAGTATTTTTGATACATTTTAAATTATTTTACTCTCCCAACAGCTAATATTGATGAATTCTACTATCAGGAATACTCTTTATATACAGATGTACCCATATGTTGGTACTTTCATTCTAAATCCTGATTGGTTATGGTAATACGTGGATATTGGCTGCATTGTTATCTATGATTGAGATCTAGAAAAAGGATCTCGAATATACTTTTTTCCACATACACAATGGAGCGCACAGCCATAAGGACTTATACATCCATATTCATCCATGTGCGTTATTACATCCGCTGTTTGTAACGTATGAGTTATGTATGTAAATTGGTGTATGTGAGCATATCAATTTAACGGCTATCACTTATGAGAGAGGAATCCGAAGTAGCTATATTTATTTTTATGACAAATTCGATTTATGAATGTTTATCCGATCCGGTATTATTCTATTCCAGTCGTACGTTATATTTAAAACAATATGCTTCTAAAATTGGATGCGCAAAATCGAATCGAAACAATAATTCTTCGTAGCTACAATATCGTTCCCAATCGTATACGTGCGATTTAAAACATACGAAAAAATCTAACAGAGTCAATATCATTAGGTGACTGATTAGTACAAAAAATTACTTTGTTTATATTTATGCTCATGATGTAAAGAAGTAATTTTATCTTTGGAACAATCAGTTAATGATTTTGAGACTATTGGAGTTTTTCCATATATATATATATATATATATATATATATATATATATATATATATATGATTGAGATTGAGAAGGATATTTTACCTGCAACCTGTCTTCCATTAATAAATAAAAAATAAAATAGAAAGTAAGTCAAAATGTATTTTGGACAACTGAAGGAAAAATACCTACAAGTTATACTAGCAATTTGTAAGAACATAATTTTTTACAAATGAATACTAAGAGTAATTTACATACAAATGCAAAATTATTAAAAATTATAAAAGACAATGAATGAATATTTTTAAATAACTATTATGCGTGAATAACTGAACATTGGATTAAAATGTACTAAGGTAGGTAAAAAAATGGTATAAGACAAATATATATAGTATAAAAGAAATTCGAGAGAAAAGTATTCTGCAGAAATATACTGAGATGAACTCTGTAAATTCAATTAATATCACTGATGTAAAATATTATAAAGAATATAAAGACTGGAAACTTATTGTTGAGATGCATTATATCATTTTAAACTATACATATGTCCCAGCTTATTTCATTATTAAAATAATACTAACACTACGCCTAGAACACACCATTTTCATATCATTTTTTTTTTAATTTAATATATTTATAAAATAAAAATAAAAATTTACGAAAGAACTAAAGTTCAATATTCAAAAATTTGGGTATGGAAAAGAATGATATTTTTTTGCCAGGTCTAATTCTCAATATATATATATATATATATATATATATATATATATATATATATATATATATGTTTATAAACACATATTACAACATTCATTATATGCAAAGTACAAGTATTACATTTATATAAGTAATAGTGTATATATTTTATGTAAGTTTTTATATAATATGTGCCTGCATCTTATAAATTTAAATACCTAAAAAGGTCACTACATTGTACATCGTGTTGAAAAAATAATTGTTTATATAAATAAAAGAGCTAAATTAACTATATCTGTGAACTGTGTATTGAGTTAAACTTGTCATGTCATAACACGTTTTTAAAAAAATAAAAAGGTCGTTTTTGAAAAAACAATAACAAATCTGTTTAGTCTGTGTTTTGTTTACGCAGATTATTTAACCCATAGGCATCACATTGATATATTATATAAATGGCAAAAATAAATCTAAAATTACTATCATTTTATTTCGATATATAATATTTAAATTTATAGTCTATCAATTATATATCCAAAAAAAGCTTAATTTTTTTATTAAAGTCTATGGGTTGAGTATCCTGCGCCTGTCGGTGTGTCGTTCGCGTATCCTACCTGTATGATACCGACTTGCCTTCGTATGTGCGCCAAGCCCGTTGGGTTGTTCGCGATGTTGGCGAAGACCAGCCTCTCCTCGTAGTCGTACTCGCACAGGATCTTGTTGTCGCAGAGGTAGAACCTGTCGCCGACACAGAACCTGGAAAGGATAATCGGATAATAGAATTATTTTAACATAAAAAAAGACAACAATATAATATATCATTATCTGTAATATACCGTAGTACTTCAAAGTTCAATCACTAGATAGGCATTTGATCTAGGCATTTCAAGTACTACTAAAAATTTGCTGATGTTACATAATGGAATAGGCAAAAAATACTATAATATTAATTATATGTAATATTTTTTTTTATTAACTCTTTTATTTACAACTGTCCAGTATAGGACATTCAGTAAATTTAATGGATTTACAATAGTCCGCCGAAAAGGTACATTGTATACTACTTTGACATGTTGGAAAAAACAACTCAGTAGTTGTTTTTTTGATATAAAATTCACAATATTCACTTATTAAATAATTTCTTATAAATAATGATTGAGTTATTTCCATTTTTTTCTCAGGAGAGTTGATGGCTTAAAAGAAAAAATTAAAGCGACTTCCACAAGACCATCGTTTTCTTTTAAATACTACGATATTTTTATCATAAAAGTAATAGTGTAAAAAACAAATGTGAGTTTTTCACTTGCGCAATAATGTTTCTATACAAAATAAATATGCAATTCATATTATGAACTTAGAAACATAAAATTTCTAGTTACTTATTACTATTAGATAAGACTTTTAGCAGTTTTTCTTATTGTTGTTTTTATTACAATTGTTTCACTACAAAAAAAAAAACATTTTTACACAAAACATGATGATTATTAATTTACCTGTGATTGCACTGTTGACAGGCGAAACATTCTAAATGATAAACGTTACTCTTGGCCCTCATCACCATTTCAAAAGCGGGTATTACTTTATTGCAAGCCGCACAATAACCAGTTGTGCCGAACAACCTGTATAAATTAAGAGAAGTATGTTATAAATCAGATACGGATACAGGGAATAAAGATAATTCCAAATTATAATAATATTAATATTACTTCTACAGTATATGTATATAGGGCCCGGCGGGGAATAAAGTTCCAATTTGACTTTCAGTAATTATACTGTCTAAATCAAATGAAGTACATTACAACACATAACACGGATCCAACAATCAACTATCATGTTCCGTAAATTTTACCATGTTCAGTAAAATTTCCAGTGAGTTCATAATTATAGAAATATGTTTTTATACCAATTTCTAAAATTTGTCATTTGTCCGTTTTCACTCCATAGTCATTTATCCGTTTTTACTCCAAAGGCAAGGTAAAAATGGACAGCCAAAGGGCAAATTCTTGAAATGTTTCATTTTTAATTATAAGAGGATGTTACATAATACTAGGTACATTATTCAATCAATGTAAAATACAAGTTTTATGGGCACATTTTTTACAAAGATTAGACTTTATTTAAGCTTAAACTGGTATTTTGTACGAAATATTTATCAGTTTAGTTGGAAGAACTATTAATTTAATTTATCTTTTAAAAAATCGCTTTTATAAATATACTTTACTTTTTATTTATTATTTTTTATTGTTTACACCTTTAGCAGAGCTAAGGTTTAGTTGGTTTTTGCCCTTTTTTACCCATACCAGAAGTTATATAAATACCCTAAATTAGTAATAAGTTAAGTATCAAATCTAATTTATATAATATATATATATATTATCTCTTTTATTTACAACTGCCCAGTAAAGGGCATTCAATAAATTTGATGAATACTACACGGGCATGTTGGAAAAAACAACTCAGTAGTTGTTTTTTCCATTCGATATAAAATTCACAATATTTTATTGACAATTATATAATAAGTTTATATTAATTACAATAATATATTCCTAAAATAAGGATCGATTTATAAAAATTTTATATTAATGTTAAATGTGGTACGAAATTTATTACCAACTAATTTTAATAAGGAATCTGTTATACTTGAGATGAATTAAAAATGATTAAACCTTAATTTAAACTGATATTAACAGTCACATAGGTAATTTGCATACGCAAAAATAAGACTTAATATACGGATTAAGGTTCATATAGAAATAGCACAAATTTTTTTTAATTATTTCTCTATTAAAATTTTTCAAATTAAATGTCACGTTTCTATTGCTTCTGTAAGTAATAAGTAATTGAAGAGAATTGCACTTTTTTAATGGACTGGGAGTGGATTTCATGTCGATTTGAGACAGATTTCACTAAAAATATATTTCATTCGTTGAGTTATAACTAGTAAATAAGATTGTTTTCATTCCATTGGTTTACGTTCTCAAAAACACTGTTAGCGGTAAATTATGGCATCTAAAAAGGATTTTGGGTTCCGTACACGTTGGAATCCACGAATATCGAAATTTTTGCCCCCGAATATAGGCATTGGTTCGTAAATTTTTTGGCTGCGAATAGTGAAAACGCAATTGAAGAAAGCGCAAATAACGAACTTCTACTGTAATGTATACTCGACAATTATTTTCAGATATCATAAACTAAATAATGAAGCTCAAAATAAAAAAACATCAACTACAAAATTCCTTTGTTATGAATATTGTTACAAGGCCGTTTATCTCTTGATAGCAACGTCGTAAAAATTTAATATTCTCGCATAATTTCCTTAATATCTTACCTAAGATAATCCCGTTTACAAAGTATCAAATTCGCTTTAGTGTAAAGCGTGGATCCAACCTCTCCTAGACGACAATCACAGCAGCCACATTTAAGGCAGTCTTCGTGCCAGAAGAGATCGAGTGCCCTCAGCAGGAACCTCTCTGTAATGCGTTTACCGCAGCCCGAGCACTCGCGCGGACCGGCTGCCGCGTGGTGACCGCCACCGGAGGCGCCGCTGGGTATGCTGTTGGCCGCCACGCTCACCGCCGACGACTGCACACCGCCACCAGCCGACGAGACCATGCTGGCGGTATCCCTGACGGCCTCTGGAAGAGAAAATAAGTTTAATAAGGATAATAAGTTTAACATTATTATGTTACATTCAGTGCTGGATTTACAGTAGGGGCAGTCGGGGCTACTGCCCAGGGCGGCAAAATTTGGATAGTGAAAAAAAAATTCTATACAATATAATCAACTTTTTTTAACAACATTTTTTATTTCAAGAAATATAATTAGCAAAACATAATACGATTTCAATGCAAAATTTAGGTTGAAATAAACAATAACTAAAATTTATTATTTTGCCTTATCTCCCTCTCCGAACGTAAATTATCAAATTGGTTAATAAGTTATCAAATTTGGCAATTTGGCTAATATAAAGATGTTCTTCAGTTCTCGAGCCCTCTTAAAATGACTTCCAAGCTTATAGCGTCGAAAAAAAAATTTAAACTAGTGACTCATGGCATTGTGCCTTAAGACAAATTACTGAAACATCCCGTACTAAAAATTACATTTTATAAAGAGCTTTAAATTTTATTGAAGCATGAAAAAAGACTTCTAAAACACATTTTTTGTATTTTGAAATTTTTCGAAAACTATGAACTTTTTGCAAAGCAATCGCGCTGCGTAGCTGTTTCAGAGAAGAAATATCGAAACTAAATTACCATTTTTCGTAATTGCCTGTACCAAAAGCTAATCAGCACGTCTCCCCATCAATACAAATCTAATATTTTTTAATTAGTCAAGTCAATTTCGAGAACACGGATCAACCGATTTATGATTCAATTCTTATTGATAAGGAGACATGCTGATTAGTTATTGATCGAGGCAGGTCCAACAATTTTGAAGATACGGGCCAAAATGCCAAAAATGATAATTCAGTTTTTGAAAAAAAAGCGTCCAATAACATTCAAAAAAATTTACAGAATAAATAACTGCTTAAATTTGTGGGGGGCAGGTTTAGCGGTTTTGATGATCCAATAAAAAAATTTGAAAAAGAAACATTTGGCGGACAAAAGTGATCATAAGACATATGCACATTAAATTATCAGATATTTTAAAGATATTATAATAAGTATAAATTTTGTTTACATTTATATAAGTTCTGTATCATTGTTTATCCGTTAGACGCGGCGCTTACGCGTTTCTATATTTTGTTATCCGCAGCTAAAGCAGCGCGATTGCTTTAAAAAAAATTGGAAAATTCGTAAAATTTCAGGGATGGGGCGGCATTTTTGCCAGTGCCCCGGGGCGCCAAATTTCTAAATCCGGCCCTGGTTACATTACAATATAATTAACTGTATATAGCTGATTAGCGTATAATAAATAAATGAATAAATAAATAAATTAATAATGTTTATTTAAAATTATCATTATGTAGTACCAAAAATCACCAATGGATAATATCCTAATTTAGCAAATTGTTCAATGGAACAATTTTTATATTTTTTATAGTAAATCATCAAAATATGTTAGTTAATTTAATGTATTTTTTTGTAGTATTATTATATTATTTTATTATTTATTATTATTATCTATTATTATTTTTATTATTAATTACTATTTTTATGTTATTATCTTTAGTTATTCTTTTTTAGTTTATTCTTTTTAGTTTATATACATTTGCATAGCAGCTCATAGAATGTAATTACTGTTCTGATTGCTGTATAATAATAAATGAATGAAAAAATGTAGTACCAAATACGCCAAAATTTTTAGTAGTAGGCAAAGGTGTTTGCTTTACTCTTTATTATAGTAATTCCCTTGATGTTTTCAATAAAAAGCGCTCGAGTTTGCGCTTTGCACGGTCTCTGATAAAAACTTCGTATCAAAAATTAAAACGTTTCGTTTAACAAGTTAAAGACGAAATAGATGATGGAAATTGGAATACGTAATTTTTCAGTAATAATACAGTTATATAAAATCTTATTTTTATTAGTAATGATTTACTTATAAAGTCTATTTAATAAATTAATCGTGTGACGAGTGAAATATTTAGATAAAACATTTTGTCATAATTAATATACCTCTAAAAATGAATCTATTTATTTATATATTTATTCATAAGCAAACCGTAATCAATAATAATAGATATTATTTCAGGCACTTATCAGGGTTAATAAAATATCCATTTCTATGCACAACATATTTATGAAATATATTGTCTATTTGTAAGTGTGCAATAATGCATTTTTATTTTGCCATCATAACATTATAAGCTCATTGGATATAATGATTCTGGCATAATAAACCCAACCTGAACCATAACCTGACAACATGATGTAAGTAATTAGTCAAAGGCGTCAGTAGATTCCAAGATAATAATGTAAGAAGTTAAGATTCTACAGCTGTTGAAAGTTAAATGTTTTTGTACGATCTTTTGCAGTAAAAAATAATAACATTTTCCATAAAATTTTGTTACGTTATTCCACAATTATGTGAAAATTGTATGAAGAAAACAAGCTTTGAAATTTGTCTAATGTGGCTTTTAGAAAATGAAGTCATTTTTCTATTACTTAAACGATATGATTTCATACGACCATATTTGATCATCTATAAAGTTCTGCACTATTTTAATAGAGATAGAGATTTTAAATTTTACTTATCTCATACAAACTTTTATTAGAGAAAAAATATTAGCAATTTGCTGTTAAGCACAATGCTATAAATTACTATATTTCATATAATTTCAAATACTAAGAATATCTATTTGTTATATTATATGTTACATTATATACAAAATAAAATGAGTACCACACTGACTTCAATTACGTTTATGATGAAAACACGACTTATAAATTACCATCTCCATCATCATTTATATATTCAGGGTAAGCAAGCAATTCAGTAAGTTGTTCCTGGGAACAAATTATAATTATGTAATACGGTTTGAGAATTTTGTACGTACGTATTCAAAAACGATGTATGACATGAAGAGAAAATTCACCATATTGCTAATTATATTGCTCACTGATGATTTTGTGGAACATTCTTTGATGAAGTGAAACATATTTCAGAAAGAACATTCTGATTTCTAACATATTCATTTATATTACCTATTCTTGATATATTTTATAACATAGTAATATGTTTGATCATATGCGTAATAAGTTTTTAATTTCTGCTTTTATTACTAAAAGTATTCTTGATAAAATATCACAGGTAATATCAATTGTGTAGTCATATTAATTTTTATTTAGAACTATTGATCAATAGTGCGTTCTAATCTAACCAAATTAGAGCATGATTTGTCAATGGAGCACAAATTTCCACATAGTGATTCTGCACAAGATTTACTTCTTTATCAAAGAGATTTTGCATAGGAATTGTAATCGTCCTCTTCATTCAAATCCTGGCCTTCAAGAGTTAACTGACATTTTAAATAGTCCAAACATACATTTAAAAAACAATAAACATATACTTGAATAAATTTGAGAAACCAAATTATAAAACTGGTGGTGCATGGCATCGTGATATTTTTTATACTTTTAGCTCCTTATCTCTGAAACGGCTGGGCCTGTCTTTGTCAATATCCAATCACAACGTCGTCTTTTCCTTTGAGTCATTCAAATTGGTTGAGAAAACGTCGACAAAAAATTGTATCCACACATACATACACATTCATTTTTTCTTTACATCAACGATTACGAATGAATTGTTATGATAGTACCTACATAAATAAAAAAAAGAAGTTAATGCAAGTGAAAAAATAATAATAAAGTAATATTAAAAGTTTGCTCAAGTGCCCAAATCGAACAACCAATATAATTTAAATTGAAAACGTCGCTAGTCCAGCCTGTCAAAAATATCTCATAAGCTGCCCCTCCGAATATGTGGCTTTGGAGCAAAAAGAATAACGCAGACGGCCGGTTTTGCACGTAATTGAAAATCCACGTCCTGTAATATATACGGACCTCTGGGCAACACATTTTAATATCAAATGACATGTTCTTCACATGTAGAGCTTCTTCACGTGTGTAGCGTCCGTACGATGCATGCCGGATTCGCTATTTCGGCAGCGTCTGCATCGACACTCGTTTTGGAATCAAAATATATGATAAATGCCTTTTGGCAAGTTCCTAAAAGCTATGACACTAAACTAGATCGACCAGATTGACAGTGCAAATTATACTTGAGGAGGATAAACAAAACTATGTTTTTTTTTACAAATCAAGATAAAAGATTTCTTTTTGATTCTCAATACTCAATATGATTAACTGCTTACTCCAAGAGACACTTTGTTTTTACGATTTTAAATCAGGCTACATTGCAGCAACCTACCTGGATCGAACTTGCTGTTCCATCCGACCTCAATCTGGTAATAATGGTCTTTTTTACGATACACTTTATATATATATATATATATATATATATATATATATATATGTATATTTTTTAACAGCAATCAGAACCTTACGTCCTATGAGCTGTTCGACTGAAACTTCTCCTTACTTCGTATTTTTTAGATGGTCACCCAATGGTTAATCCATCCATATTTGATGATTTTGTTATTAGAATTAATTTAATAGGGCTGACTTTTTATCGGTGCAGCAATGCCGGACAAGGGCTATTTTCACTTGGAAACATATTGCTATCTATATTTCCAAGCGAAAATCGTTGTCACTGCTGCCTGACAACAGGCTGCTCGAAGTGGGTATCGAACCCGGACCTCTGATTCAAGTCCCGTAGCTCTTAACCGCTTACCTACAGGCGAGCCCACTTTAAATTGAAAATTATTCTTTTGAAAAAAAAGCGGCGTAAGATAATAATCGAAATTTATTACTAAAATAGTTTTCAAATATTGAGTTGGCTTACTGACTATAATGAACTAATGAATATACTAATGAATAAACTTTCTGACATTTTTGAAATAACAATTAGTTTATGCATATCCAGCGTATTTTAGCATTAATTGTGGTAAGTATATATAGTATTTGGAAAATCTCTACAAAATTAAATAATATACAATACTGTCTAATAGTATAGAACCCTACAGCAACTAGGTATACTAAAAATTGAAAGATAATCCCAACACATGAAGAAGACA